CTGGGACTCTTTTTCCCTGGGGCTAAATATTTGTTTTTTTTTTACCCAGGAGCTCAAATGTTGATAAGAAATTATTTTTTATTACAAAATGACAGTGGACCATACAGTTTTGATAGGAAAACTTACAAACCAAATTTTGCTGGGGGTAGGGTAGATTTTGGTTTAAATTCAGTATGGTCAGGTGTGCAATTCTCACAGTGTGCCCAAGGTAATGTGCCAAGGGCAGTGCTATTATAATAATAGGCTTCCTGCTTTTGTGCTTGCATATCCTGAGCATCATGCTGCATGTGGTCTCAGCTATTTGCCACCAAGGTGACATCTTTGGACGTTTCTGAGGGAAGAAACCTGGTAGCAGCTTATGGCACAGTCAGTGTGTGCTTGCTTATATAACTTATGCATCTCCCCATCCTTGCTACATATATATACATATATATGGATGTATGTGTGTATGTATGCATAGTAAGGAAGCAGCTTACAGTCATTGGTGCCTGTTAGGCCCACATTGGAGCAGTAACTGTTTTGTAGAGTGGAGTGAAGCTGATTTTTGAAAGATGTGTTTGTAACATTTCTTGAATTAATTTTTGTTATTAGATTAAAAATTAGCTGATTACTAAATTCTTGTGCTGTGAAAGACTTGTTTTGATTTATAAAGATTGTAATTATTTGGACAATGGCCATGATTTTTTCTCTCCTTTTTTTCATAGCAAAATTGCCATTAATTTTTAACAAATTTATCTCAACTCATATCCATATGTTTGGTTGTGACAATCTCTGTTTTTCTCCTTGCCTAGGACCAGGAGCTGATGGACTTACTAGAACAGTACCAAAACTCTCTTCTCTCTGCTTCCCACTCTACACTCACTGCCCCAACTGACCAGGTACTGGCATATATGTGAAGATATACATGTATATATGTGTATATGTATATGTGTATATGACCCCATTCCCACAGATTTTAGATCCATTTATCCTCGTGGGGAGTCTCACTGGATTACTGTCAGCTTAGCCGGCTTAAGGTGAGACACTACACCTAAAAATTGGGATTTTTGGACCTAGCTGAGACACCTCAAAATGTTTACCAAATATCTGGGTATGATGAAAAATATTAAAATTAACAATTTTAAAATATGCAAATTAGGTTAATTATGCAAATTAGGCTAATTATGCGTATTTTTGGGGAAAAATTAAAATCATTATATCTCAAAAACCATAATACCTTTCTTAATTCTGTTTTTTTATTTTTGCAGAAAACAACTTAAAATAAATTTTGTCAGAAGGAATTTTTATTTGAAAGTAAAAGGTCAATTTTATAGGTAATTTTGTATCAGTGACCGCTACAAAAAACTTAAAAAAATGAAAAAATTCAATTAATTTTATTATTAATGTATAATTAGAGAATTCCTTCTGACAAAATTTATTTTAAGTTGTTTTCTGCAAAAATAAAGAAACAGAATTAAAAAAGGTGTTTTGGTCTTTGAGATATAATGATTTTAATTTTTCCCCAAAAATACGCATAATTAGCCTAATTTGCATAATTAACCTAATTTGCATATGATAATGAGCTTTTAAAATTGTTAATTTTAATATTTTTCATCATACCCAGACATTTGGTAAACATTTTGAGGTGTCTCAGCTAGGTCCAAAAATCCCAATTTTTAGGTGTAGTGTCTCACCTTAAATGTCTGCCCCGCCTACTTAAAGCTGTAAGGGGGTAATTTAATGTCGTGCACGCTCGGCTGACAGCAATTTATCGTGAACCCCCAGGGCGTTAGGTCATTCTGGACGGGTCCATCTAAATCTCTGGGAATGCAGTCTATGTAAAAAAGAGTCACCTGTCACCCCTCCCCGCTCTGTTGCTTGAAATCTTCCTGCTTGCTTGTTTGTCTCTCTCCCTTGAGTTGTCCAGCGTCTTGGTTCTTTTCAGCATTCTGCAGCTTACTTTTATTTTTATCATTTATATAGACAAGCATTTTACTGTTTAGTTTACTTAGTTTTATTATCTCTCCCTGTGTTTCATTCAGTTTTGGTGCAAATTTATTGTTGGCTTTTTATGTGGTGAGAAGTTTTAGACCATTCTGGCAGTGGTCACCTATGAAGTCTGTACTGCTTAGATTCACTGTCACCCAAATGCACGGTTTTGACAACTAATTATTGTTACGTCCTCTGCCAGTGCTTTGTGTTCATAGTTTTGTCCCCAATCCTCTGGGTCACTTATTTGTTCTTAGTTGTATCACATTTTTTTTTCATTTCTTATTTATGATGTTACACAATTAAGGCATATTAGTTATTGGTGTTTTATAGTTATTCAGTGCACTCGATCCTTCATAGTATGGGTAATCTGTATCATGAAACATTGTGCTTTTATCACAGGTTATAATAAAACTTTAAGCAAAAGACTGGGGCACTTGGTTCTGTCCATCTTATCTTGGTCACTGGTTGTGGTATGTAGTTTCTATGTGGGCACGTTGTTTTAGCATTTCCTTCTTTGGGATCACCTTTTGTTGTACATAGCTATATGGAATATAGTCACTTAGTGTTTTATACAACAGCACCACCTATAGTGCATATTGTGAGTTATTGTTGAATGCATCCTATGGAAAATGGCTTGATGTAATGACACCTTCACTGCTTGATACCTCACAATCCAATCCCTAGCTTTTGCTCTGTGGTTGTTTATAAGTAATATATCTTTAACGTGGTTAGTTTTCTTAAAGTATTAGGTCATAATTTAGGACTGTTTTTGATAAATGATTAACTCATAGCTCAGGGAAACGAAGATGGTAAAGTGCAGTATATGTCAACTTTTTATCAGCATGCATGCTCTTTATTTGGCTTTTTGTTATAATGCTATTTTAAGATAAAAATGATGATTTTATCAATAAGTTGTTATTACTGTTGCATGGTCCTTTATTGGTTTGTTCTTCCATGTTTATTTTACATGATGGCAGAAATATTCAGCAAGATTAACCTGTTCAAGTCACACTGCTTTTGATTAGAATCAGAAAGATAAATGATTCTATTGTTCTTGAAATTGTACTAAAACAACTGATGTTGCAGTTATTTAAATGAAGAGACTGCACCACAGAGTTGCCAAATCAGTGGACTCAAAATACCTTAAGTAATTGTTTAACATACTGTTCATTATAAAATCATTTCTGAACCTGAAAACAATTTGAAACTAAACTGGAAAATGTGTAAGAATCTCAATAATGCAAAGATTTGGCAAATATGACCCTTTTGAAAAAAAGCAATATATGTATTTAAGCATGTCATCATCTCTCTATATATATGTATTGTGCCCTACAGGAGGACGAGAGAGGAGATCTGTTGAACCAGTATCGGGTCCTCAGTAGGGAGGCGGAGAGGTACGAGACACAGACCCACCAGCTGGAGAGCGAGGGCTCAAACCTACGCTTAGAACTCATGTCACGAGACTCCGAGGTCAGGAGGTTACGAGATAAAGTAGAGCTGATGGAACGCGAGATACAAGAAGTGAGTGGTTGGTTTTGGTTCTTGTTGGCAAATGAGAGGATTTGTTTATAAGAGTATTAAATGAGGGGCAAAAGGCCTAGATTTGCGGCTTGTTTCCAATGAAGCTGTCATTCTGCATAGATCGCTCTATCTCCTAGAGGACTGTCGCAGAAATGCAACAGATTAATACACGTAAAGTAAAATGGCTTAGAGTAGAAGTACAGTACAGTAGAATACAGAAAAGATGGTGATTGTACAAGTTTTAAAAATATAAGATTCAGATAAGTAAATTGGAACTTTTATTGACTTATTGAGAGACAAAACTGGAAGTTTAACTGTGTAGTAGGCTGTGTTCTATATGATGTGAATTCTCTCCCAGCACCTCCATGCTCAGCAGGCCTACGAGACCCAGGTGTCCAGTCTGACGCGGTCCGTCTCTCAGCTGGAGGACAACCTACGGGTCACAGAGGACGAGCGTCTGAGTGTGCAGCAGGATCTGGCTGCTGTACGTGACCTGTGTGCCAAGCTGGAGGCCACCAAAGACTCACTGCAGAGACAATTGACAGGGAAGACACTTGACCAGGAACAGGTGGGGTGTTAAGTCCTGTAACATCATGTTTATCCATAGTAAGGACTTTATAACGATCTTTGAGATGGATATTGTGTCAAATACTTCAAATTCACTTGCTTTATGATGTTTTATTCAGCCCCATGTTTTATGACACGAGTTCATTGTGAAACAGAATGTTTATGTTAGTTTAGAATGTTTGAGATAATACACAGTTACTTGAGCGGTATATACCAGAACAACTAAGAGGGTCTGCGAAGTGTGTTCAAGGCCTTTGAGGGAAGAAGGTGGCAGTGTATTCTTAGACATGAATATCAAGAGAAAGTACTCATATTTCACTGAAAAATGCCCCTAAAACTAAATAAAGCATATATTGCCATGGTCACAAAAACATCTCCAGGTATTTGTCATATCTTCAGCTCCAAGCTGCCCTGGATGAGCTGAAAGCAGACGCAGATGCGTTACGTAGCCAGGTGAACAGCGAGCGCGGCACAGTAAGGAACCTGGAGGGACTGCTGTCTTCCAACAGAGAGAAAGAGTTCCAGACCCAGCTCAGTGCTCAGGAGAAGAATGCTGAGATACAGCTCCTCAAAGATAGGCTGACTCTGAATGAGAGTAAATTGTGAGTACAGAACCTGAAGTTGCAGTTGAGATTTAAATGGGAACCCTATTGGTTAAATAGTCAAAGGTCTCTAAAGAGATGAAATATTTTTTACCTGTGGGACATGACATTAAGGCTTGTCTCATCATCAAAGGGGCTTGATCACGTGGCTGAGTCATTAAGTATAGAAATTAAGAAACTTAAGAAATTATGTACTTTGTTACCACTATTATATAAGAAACAACAAAAGGCTGTTTCTCTGAGAACCTTTGTTTCTCTGTTGTGTGTTTTAAATGTTTTTTTGCCAAACTTAAATTATAGATTCCCATGTTCACTTCATAAGTGTTAAAAGGACATATTAAGGTTGACTCCCACAGCGAATAGGCCACTTTCTTTGGCGTCTGTAATTATAACATGGTTGTGAGTCTTGAGGAACTTTCAGTTTACCTCATGGCACTTTACTCTTGGTGACTGCAAAATATTCTACACGTGGTAGATTTAGTCCAACTTCTGTTTGTTAAGATGAAATTCAACAAAGTTTAAAGAGTAATAAGTCATTGTTTTAATAACTTGTAACATTTGTGTATTTTCTAGACAAAGTCAGAACAGAGAGATGTCTACACTGAGAACTAAAAACATGGAGTTAGACTCAGAGGTGGAGAGATTAAGAAGACAACTCACTAGTGAGAGATTTGAAAAGTAAGAGCATTATGATTTTTTTCTCATTGGTGGTGAAAACCACCTTTGTGTGTGTTTGAGGTAGACATGTTTTTATACAGAGGTCAGAATATAAGTTATTTGCTGATATTTTGAGTTTACTTGGTAAATATTTTTATGGTACAAAGGAAATATTAAAAAATCTAAAACTTTGACCTTGATATTTATTGTATTTTTATAAGGTATATATTATTGATTGTTCAAAAATAGATACTAGAAAAAGTTCTCACATTTGATACCTATTTCAGAGAATGCACAGTGCAGGAAATGCGGCGACACGGCCTCACTCCTCCTGCAGACACGTCAGGACGAGCAATGTCGCGCAGTTCACTCGGTCGCAGTTCCACCCCAGCACGTAGAGTATCCAGTCCAACAAGGTAGTACTGCTTGGAACCCAGCTAAGAACTTCTATATTCCTCAGTTGCCCATGTTTCTGCAGTCATATTTCATATTTGTTGCAGATGTGAAGGCAACAGGGTTAATGCTATCTTCTGCTTTGTATAGTACCTCTGTGAAAACTATATGAACTATGTGATATATTATCATACTGTAATTTTGCTAGTTTTGATGCTTAGGTGTAGCATTACACAATACTGTGCCATATAATTTTGATCCTATTATCTTTTTGCTTACTGCTGCAAGTGTGACTTCTGCTCTAGCTACCTTGACTGAATGGGAGAATAAAATGGCAAAACTTTCTCTGCAGGTCAATTCTCAGGTCACCTGAAAGACGGAGGTCTCCAGAGCGAGTGACCATTAGGTCTCCACGCAGTCATTCCAGAGCTGAGGTAATGAGGATAGACATGCATGCACGTATGCATGCACACACACACGTGCACACACACATACAGACATGCACTCACACACATGCATGCTCGCGCATTCTGTGATGGACTACCTATGGAAAAAACGTTGTAGTGCACCATATTTTCTCTATATAGTATTATTTTCCCTAGGTCCAGAACTGGAGTCACTTGTAAACCAACCATGTGTCATGTATATTGTCTGTTGCAGGGTGTTATGTTCTTTGTAATGTCCAGTCTTTGACTAGCCTATAAGGGTCTGTACAGAAACATGATAACCATCACAATCTGTGCATTTAGGTGTAAATGATATCATCATGATTGTAATTGTAAGTGACTGGCTGGGGATCTTTAACACATGCATGCACACATGCATACAATCACCGAGCGCGTGCACACACACACACACACACACACACACACACACACACACACACACATATTAAATTTCAACTCCAATTTCAATTACCATTACTGTGATGGGCACTTTTCGTGATCTTTTTGATAGAGTTCTAGCATGGAGAACTATGTCCTGCTAGAAAGCATGAGTTAGTTCCATATAATTATAGCTTAAACACTCCTTACATAATGGGTCTGGGGGGCTCTACTGGCACTGCTTCAAGTGTTAACAAAGGCAGATACATGTATTATTGTTTGTCCAGATGTTATCTTATGTATGTTACTACAACAAATCTGACAGTTGTTTTGTTTTAAATTTATAAAATGTAACCATTTAAATCTTCAGGATTGACAGTAGTACTCCAGCAATACAAGAGCCATGAAAACCAAAGGTACATTCAGCATGGCACTGGTTTGGCTGCTGAACACTATGCACTCACAGTTGCTTGTATTTTGATTTGTTGTTTTGGTTTTCAGTTGCAATTCTCTGCACCGATGCAAGACTAAATGTTTTTTCCATAGCATTTTTACATGTAATATGTAGTGTTTGCATGTCTTCACTGGTGACTCTTAATTCTGGAGTAGTATCAGACCATTGTTTGTTTGGCATGCTTCCTAACACCATTTGCCCAAACTGGTATATTTTACTTACATTGTTACTATCAGCAATTGGACATGCATGATGTTAATTGACATCATAGTTAAGCTCCAGTACTTCACTAACCCCCCCCCCCCTCCCATCACGGCCTTTGAAATATTCCACATTTAGTACTGAGTGTTAATTATGATATGATTAACAATTTCGACTAACACCGAGATATTTTGCCATTGTTTGAATCAGCACACAGATAACCTATGTAAGGGTCAGTAAGAACAGAGCTTTATTTCTACCTTGTTTTTGTATGTAGAGGGAGGAGGATGGTTGGGAGGAAGAGATAAAGGGAGACATACAAATTATCAGTAAGTTTTTTTGGGGGAAGTAGCAGTGCATTGACTTGGTTGGAGTCTCCCTTTCCATTTCTTGCTATTCCATCTTTAGTTTTTGCCGTATCTTTTCTGGCGAAACCTCTTTAAGTTTGTTTCTGATAATGTGCTGTCATATTTTTGAAATAACGCCAATTTTTTAATACCTTTGGTGATTTGGAATTGATTTATGATTTTGTTCCTGTCCCATTATTTTTGACTAACTAGTAAGTGTGCGTTAGTTGCTTTAGCACTTATTTATCACCTTTGTGTAGATTTGGATCATTATTTCATTCAAATATTGCATAAATTTCCAACAGCTTAAAGCAGCATCTACACAGAGAACTGTGCAATGCAGAAAGTATGGTCCAAATGAAACAAACTTCATGTGTGAGAAGTATGGCAACAAGTTTTTTTTTTTTCAATTTTGATTTGAAAATAACACCATGTCCTTGTTAAGATATCCTATGTTGTGTGCTACTTGGATGGAGCTCATTTCTTACTACAGTAACTGTGTGTAAATGCTACTTATGTTGTTAATTCATTTTACTGTGGCTTTTATTAACCTTACACTATAATGTATACACAATGACTGATGATTTGTCCAATTTGTGTTTAACCCAACATCAGAACCTTTCTGCACTGCACCTCTACTGATGTGTTGTCAAAGGAGGAGTGTGTACTTAGTTGGATTACATCTGTGATTTAGTTTTTGTCCAAGTTAAATTAGCGTGTCTTCTTTATGGCCCTTTTTACATCATGGGGTATACTTTAGCAATACAGTCTGTGTCAGTACAGTTTGAGAGATCCTAAAATGTAGCTACACTACAGGGGATTTTACTCGCAAGTTTACTCACTTGCCTTGTTGAGCAAGGTAGGCTCTGTTTGGAGACTCTCTTATGTGGCAGCTGAACTATTGAGTTATCAGTCTCTAGTCTCTAGAAACGTACTGGTACAGGGTGTATTGCTTGTACCTCTTCATGTGAAAAAGACTTCTCACAAGTAAAAACGATTTGGAATTTGGTGACTGATGATACCCTGCGTTGTTTCAGTTGCTAGAAAAAACAGTTTGTGGTAATACTTTGTAGGGGCTATACTATAAATTATTTCATGACATTCCCTTTGTAAATGACACTGAAGAAATAGCTCTTTATCTGACCATTGTGACCAGGAGTACTGTTTTTCTTTTCAGGAAGAAGTCCCACTGAATAAATCCCTGCTGGACTGGATAGAGGATACTGACCAGGCTGTGGCTGAGATGACTTCTGTGTAGGATATTTATTGTTAAATCTGGATAACGGATACCAGACTGTGGCTGAGATGACTTCTGTGTAGGATAACTATTGTTGAATCTGGATAACGGATATCAAGCTCCGGCTGAGATTACATCTGTGTAGGATACTGTTTTTGAATCGTGGTAACGGATACCAAGCTGTGGCTGAGATGACATCTGTGAAGGATAACTGTTGTTGAATCTGGATAACGGATACTAAGCTGTGGCTGAGATTACTTCTGTGTAGGATACTGTTGTTGAATCAGGATAACGGATACCAAGCTGTGGCTGACATGATATCTGTGTAGGATACTGTTGTTAGTGTGTATAATGGATACTGGCCAGGCTGTAGCTGATATGACACCTGGATAATGGATATTGACCTAATTGTTGATGATATGAAACTGTTTAGGATATGGATATTAATATGGGTAACAGATACTAGCAAAGTTGTGGATGATATGACACCTGGATATTGGATATTGGCCAAGCAGTGGCTTAGGTGACATCTGTTAAGGAGACTGATGTTAATGTGGATAATGGACACTGACCAGGCTGTATCTGAGATGATATCTGCCTAGGATACTGCAGTTTATGTGGATAACGGATACTGATTGGGCTGGTATCGACATGATACCTGGATAATGGATATTGGCCAGGCTGTGACTGATATGACCTCTGAATAATGGATGCTGATCAGGCTATCAGGTTGGATACATATGCCTTGCCTGAGAGAGAGAGCAAGGACCAGTGACTGAGGCAGTTTGAATACATCGTGTTGGTTTTGTGCAGAAAAAATAACTGTATGAAGTCATGCATTATGTTTGACAGTCCATAACTGAGTCATTCACTTTGTAAAACCCAAGTGACCTAGTATGAGTGACAAAAAAGGCTCTGTACTAATTGAAATGGAAGATCTCACAGCAGTATTTTTAAAACAAGATTTAGTGGGGGTTTTTTTAAAGTGATTTATATTTTTAAAATTTGTAATTTTAATATCCGTCAGAGAGTCATTTTGGTAAAAGTCACAGTAAATGGTGTAACGTTGGGTTCTCCCAGGCCAGTGAATTAAGCGGTATAGTGTGCGTGGTTTGGAATAGTGACTCCCTACAGGCAGGATAGCGCCATTAAATTGTGGTATGCATGAGGAATATTTACAGCTACGTGGAATACATGCCGCCTTTGTGTGGTCAATTAACATATATACGACCACAAATGTAACAGCTCCAACTGCGAAGGCAGCAATTTCTTCAGGTCACTTGATGCTATCTATGCATGGAGAACTAACAGAAGCAGGGAGTTGAGGAGGACGCTTTGTCTGGAAGACTGGACGGTATTCTGACCGTGGTTAACATTGCGGTTATGTCTTGTCCACTTAAATGAGACTACTTCATGCTACGTCCACTGCCATGCCGGATTTCACACTCAGGACAATCAACAGCCAATAATAACGTACATATATCTTATGACGTGTAGAATTTAATCATTGAATTTTTAGGATTTTTTACTATGATCATATAATACATGTAAATCTGTGATTCCTGTGTT